GTGGGGCCTGAACTCTGGGCCTGGGCGCTGTCCCTCAGCTCTTCAGCTCAAGGCTAGCGCTCTACCACTTGAGCCACAGCGCCACTTCCGGCTTTTTTTCTTTTTGCTTATATGGTGCTGAGGAATCGAACCCAGGGCCTCAGGCTTGCAAGGCAAGCGCTCTACCACTGAGCCACCTTCCCAGCCCCGATCTAAATATTTTTCAACTCTTATCATTACTGATTGTACCATTGATGAGGAGTAGGAGTCTATCCAAGCTCATGAGTTCCCATAAAATTGTGATCTAATTTTCTGTGATATATTTGCTAGCGTGTGTGTGTGTGTGTGTGTGTGTGTGTGTGTGTGTGTGTGTGTGTGCGCGCTCGGGCTGCCACTTGAACCATGCCTCCAGTTCTGTCTTTTTGTTGGTTAATTGGAGATAACTAGTATCCCAGACTTTCCTGCCTACGTTGACTTTGAGCCTTGATCCTCAGATATCAGCCTCCTGAGTATCTAGGATTACATGTATGAGTGACTGCCTTGTTACTGCTTTTTTATTATTATTTTCAGTCAACAGGAACTGCCGTTAGCACCTTTTTTTTTTGTTGTTGTTGGTTGTGGGGCTTGAATTTAGGGCTTGGGGGCTGTCCCTGACCTCTTTTGCTCAAGGCTAGCACTCTATCACTTGGAGCCACTTCTGGTTTTCTGATGGTTAATTGGAGATAAGGGGCACAGGACCTTTCCTGCTTTGACTAGCTTTTAACTGTGATCCTCAGATCTCAGCCTCCTGAGTAGCTAGGATTACAGGTGTAAGCCATCAGCACCCAGCTTTCAGCCCTTTTAAATCCTGTCTTTTTTTTTACTGTTACTTAGATTCTCCATATAATGTATAAATGAAAATTAAAAATAAAACCAAGGCTAGGAATGTGGCTAGTGGTAGAGTGCTTGCCTAGCATTCATGAATCCCTGGGCTCAATTCCTCAGTACCACATACACAGAAAAAGCCAGAAGTGGCGCTGTGGTTCAAGTGATAGAGTGCTAGCTTTAAGCAAAAGAAGCTCAGGGACAGTACCCAAGCCCTGAGTTCAAGCCCCAGGACTGGCAAAATTAATTAATTAAAAATAAAACCATTCCACAACTAACTGGAAAACTAACCACTATTTGTTAATTTATCATATACTATATGCAACAATAATATTTCATTTCCTGGGATAGGAGACTCTCAACTTTGGAAAAACTCTAGAAATACTTATCTTAAGGAATTACATAAACACAGAAAAGATTGAGAAAATTAGAAGAAAAAGATGAGTTAAATACTAAATATTCAGCCCAAGTGGCTGAGATAAAGAGTCTTACAGACTCTTTATGATAGCCAAGGATTTGCTGCTCCAAGCCAACCAATGTAATCATTCTAAATCTATTCATGTTTCTGTGTCCATGTGACTTGGAACAAGAAGCTTAGCGGGGCTTACGCCATCTGTTGTAGAAGTTCACGTGTGTGTTTTGTCCCCAGAGAAGCTCTCCTGGGAATTACAAGGTAAGTACAAAATATATCTCATTCCATTTAAATAATTATAACATGCTGTTGATTAAAGGAATGTGAATGTTAGGAGATAACAGTAGTGACTTACTTTAGGGAGCAGAGATTAGACATTTCTAATTTTAGTTTTTTAAGGCTTAGAGCCAATAAATGATTCCCATATAATGAGCTGCTTATATTGGTGAATCCCACAGTAGTTCCTGATTTGCCAAATCCCAATTAATTATGATAACTTTGTTTCCCAAGCAGGTTCCATGTACCTTTTGGAATTAACTTGCTAACATTGTCTGCCAGAGATGGAAGCCTGAGGCAGGTAGCATTACAATGCAAAACTGTGCTGGGCAGCCTACTTCTCTTGCCTTGACCATTTCTTTCTTCCCACAGTCGGGGTATTAGGATTTGAACTCTGCCCTTTGGGAAACATTTGTTTCTCATTTTCCAGGTTTTACATTATATGCTATGGACACAAAGAAGCAACTGGGATTCCTTCATTCCTGGAATTTGAATCTAAAGAAATTGATTAGCTCTTGCAGATAATTTGTGATTTGTTATAACTGATAGTGTTACAAGGATAGAGACTTACTCGTTGATTTAGTTTTCATTGTCTAAATAATTGTTGTAAAGAGTTTGTTGAAGCTAAACAAAATGCCAACTACTTCCTGGCCTCACAGAGAGTTTGGATTATAAGGAAAGTATTATTAATCAAGTGTACAAAACGTACTTAGAACTTTGAAGGAAAGGCCTGGTGATAGGAGATTATGAAGTACAGCTTTTTTTTTTTCAAACATGGTTCACAAGGGTGAAATAATAGAAAATAATGTCTTGTAGTTAAGGTAGTAACGATTATTCCATCTGCATATATGTATGATATACCACAAAGTATGCTATGAGTCATAGCTTGAAAAAAAAACCTTGAAAGCCACTGTCCTAGGTGGACCTAACCGAGGTCTAGGTCATGAGAAGCTTTTTTCCAGGAATTGTTTCAGGTGAGTTCTGAAAAATAAGTAGCTTTTAATTAGTTGCAAGAGAGAAGCACATAGAAGTATCTGGGCCACAGAACCTCTCTATACAATATTCCTGATGGCGTTTGGTGTTAAGAGTTTAGCTGTTGGGGCTGGGAAGGTGGCTCAGTGGTAGAGCGTTTGCCTTGCATGCTTGAGGCCCTGGGTTTGATTCCTCAGCACCACATAAGCAAAAAGAAAAAAAAAAAAGCCGGAAGTGGTGCTGCGGCTCAAGTGGTAGAGTGCTAGCCTTGAGCTGAAGAGCTGAGGGACAGCGCCCAGGCCCAGAGTTCAGGCCCCATGACTGGACCTCCCCCCCCCAAAAAAAAAAGAGTTTAGCTGTTGAAGGCTCACATATCTGAAGTAGGAGAAGAGGAAAGGAATCTGGCTAGATGTTGCCAAGATTCAAGAGGACTTGAATTTTTGTTCTTAAAGCATCTGAGAACTATGGGAAGGTTTTAAGCAAGACCATGGCTTAGGTTTGCATTTTGAAATGATTCCTTCTTTTCCTCTCATTTTGATTAGCATCAACCAATTATATGAAGGGCTTTCATGTGGGCATGTCCATATACATGTACAGTGTGCCTTGATGAGACTCACCCCCTCACCTCTCCACCTTCCCAAACAAATCTCAACGGGATTCATTGTTCCATTTTTCACACCTGTACAGAAAGTATTTTGACCATATTCACCCTCTGTCCACTTTTCCTACTGGTACCCACACCCCAGACAGGACCTGTTGTTTACTTCTGTCATTCATTTTTTTAAGTATATGTTAATCATTTTTGCTTCCATGCTGATGGGACAGAATTACAATAGGGCATGACAGGACACATGGAGAACCAGTTGTCTTGTTAGCAAGTGAGAAGAACGGGCTTGGATTTCCAGGACAGCAGCTGGAAATGGCTGGACTTCAGAAATTGGGATTTGAACCCATGGCCTCAGGCATGCAAGGCAAGTGCTCTACCACTGAGCCACCGAGATAGGCAGTAGTAAAGGAGAGGGAAGGGCAGGGGGTGAATCTTCAACCTTTGAGTCAGTGCTTACACACATAAGACAAAGCCCTAGAGAGGAAGATCTGCTGGGCAAGGGGAAGCCACAGCTCAACTTGCCATGCTGTGTTCTGAGACAGCCTGTGGGGCCGGGTGAAGGATTGCCTTGAAGGAAAGTGCTTTTTGAGTTTGCTTTTCAGAAGAGACCTGGGGAAATAGTTTATCACTGGGGGTAACTAAATTGTCCAAAGGCTGATCCCCACCTTCCAGAGTATAGGTCAAACTCTTCTGTTTCCCAAAACTTCCCCAAATCCCATAAAGCCTAGACATACCTCTTGCAAGAGGTATTCCTGGGTCCAGTGTCTCCAGGACACCCTAATATCATTACCTAATGAGCTACCCCTCTCATTTGTATTCAGCAAGGTGATCCTCATTTTAGCATACGCTCTAACCAAATCTTATCTAATACTGTAGTCTTTGCCTTTCTTCATGATATTCCCAGATAAACCCTTCATTCCCCCTAGAAGCAAGTGTAGGGCTGAGCAGAGAATAGCTATTAAGATGCAGATCTGGGACTAGGAATGTGGCTTAGTGGTAGAGCGCTTGCCTAGCATACATGAAGCCCTGGGTTTGATTCCTCAGTACCACATACACAGAAAAAACTATAAGTTGATACTGTGATTCTAGCCTTGAGCAAAAGCAGCTCAGGGACAGTGCCCAGGCCCTGAGTTCAAGCCCCAAGACTGGAAGAAAAAAAAAAGATGCAGAACTGGGTGCAGGATGCTCTCTATCTACCTGCTAAGTTAACACTCCAGTCTCAGTAGGATGTGGCTGAGATTGTGAATGATAAATCTGAAAATATTAAAACTTGCCCAATTTTTTTGTCTCCTGTGACGTCATTGTGCTGATAGAGCAGATAATTTGCTGATTGCACCTGGACCTGCCTGGTCCTGTCTCATTAGAGGTAACATAAAAGCTGCCTGTCAGCCGGGCGCTGGTGGCTCACGCCTGTAATCCTAGCTACTCAGGAGGCTGAGATCTGAGGATCGCGGTTCAAAGCCAGCCCGGGCAGGAGAGACCGTGAGACTCCTATCTCCAATAAACCAACAGAAAACCGGAAGTGGCACTGTAGCTCAAGTGGTAGAGTGCTCGCCTTGAGCTGAAGAGCTGAGGGACAGTGCCCAGGCCCAGAGTTCAAGCCCCACGACCGACACCCCCCCCCAAAAAAAAAAAAAGCTGCCTGTCAGGAACTAGTGACCAATGCCTGTCATCCTAGCTACTCAGGAGGCTGGAATCTGAGGATCATAATTCAAAGCCAGCCTGGGCAGGAAAGTCTGTGAGACTAATCTCTAACTAACCAGCAAATTGACCAATGACTAAATTAACCAGTGACTCAAATGGTAATGCACTAGTCTTGAGTGAAAAAAGCTAATGGACAATGCCCAGGTTCAAAGTTCAAGTCTCAGTACTGGAAAAAAATGAGGGGGGTGCTGGGTGCTGCTATCGTATCCCTGTACTCTTAACTACCCAGGAGGCTGAGATCTGAGGATCATGGTTCAAAGCCATCTCAGGCAGGAGAGTCAGTGAGATTCAAATTTCCCATAAACTATTCTGAAAAAGCCAGAAGTGGCACTGTGGCTCAAAAGAAGCTCAGGGACAGAGCCCAGGCCCAGGCCCTGAGTTCAAGCTCCACAACCAACACACATACACACACACACACACACACACACACACAAAGGCACCTCCAGCTGTGGTGCAGGGACTCTGGCTTCTAGGGGAGGGCAAGTCCTACATGGCACAGAAGACACACAGAATGGACAGATAGGAGATGAGAGAATTGAGGGATTTGCCACCCTGCCCTGACCTGTGTACAATGAGTACCCACATTTTTCCTGAGGCTCTCTTGTAGGAGACGGGATGACCGCACAGTGACCCCGGGCAGCAGGGCTTTGCGTCATTCTAGCAGGGATGACAGATTATGTTGAGACAGACACACCCCAGTTCAGGCTTTCTAGTAAGCTCTGTTGTTCCCAATGTACCAGGCAGCAGGGAGGTGTGTGGGGGATGGCAATTGAGAGCTTCAATTCAGTATGAATTGAATTTCTGTTCAAGATTATATTGAATTTCTGCCTCCTGTATTATAAAACCAAGGGCAGAGTACAATCGATCTCATTCTAAAGACCAAGAAGTAATATATAAATGACTCTGTGGCGTGTGTGTGTGTGTGTGTGTGTGTGTGTGTGTGTGTGTGCGCCAGTCCTATAGCTTGAACTCAGGACCTAGGTACTGTCTCTGAGCTTTTTTTCACTCAAAGCTAGCATTCTACCATTTGAGCTATAGCTCCATTAACAGTTTTTTGTTGTTGTTGTTTTTTGCTGGTTAATTGGAGTCTCCTACTTTCCTGCCTGGCTTTGAACTTCCATCCTCCCATCTCAGCAACCTGAGTAAGATTACAGGAGTGAGCCACCAGCTTCCCCCCAGCTGTAAATGACTTTTGTTTTAGTGCCAGAGCTGGGCTTGAACTCAGAGCTTGGGCACTGTCCCTGAGCTGCTTTTGCTCAAGGCTAGCAATCTACCACTTGAGCCATAATGCCCCTTCCAGCCTTTTCTGTTTATGTGGTACTGAAGAATTGAACCCAGGGCTTCATGCTTGCTAGACACACCTACCATTAAGCCACATTCCCAGCCCATATTGTTCTATTCATAGTGATTTTTTTTTTTTTTGCCAGTACCAGGGCTTGAACTGAGGACCTCTCTCTCACTCGCACTTGGTTTTGTTAATGGCTGTTCTTCTACCACTTAAGCCACTCCTTCAGCCTGGATTTTCCCTTGTTCCTTGAAAATAGAGTCTTGAGGATTTTTCTGCCCTGAGTAGCTTAAATCTCAATCCTTCAGATCTCAGCCTGCTGAGCAGCTAGTATCACAGGCATGAGCCACTGATACCAGCTTTGTATTGAATTTTGTTAACATTTTTGCAGCTATATTCAGAAGAAAGTAACTTCTCATTTTCTTGTCAAATTTGGTACCAAGAATTTTCTGAAAGCAGAATGGTTTAGGAAGTATTGCTCAATTTCTTCTTTTAGGAGTTGGTGTCTGTTTCTGTTATTTCTTCTTTAAGTGCTAGGGTGACAACTCCTTAGAGGGGATGCTTGAGAATTGATGCTGTAAATCGTATTTTGGAAGCACCCGACTACGGTGTGCAACAGGCAGTTACCATCCATCTGAATGCTCCTGTTTTTATTCAATTCCTCCTGTACAGTGTTAACTGCATCACCTTTCCCTTTCCACTATGTCACCCAGCTAAGCCACCACACAGGAGAGCTGAGGCCCTTTTATTCCTAAGCCTGTTCCTTAACTCTGTCCTTCCCCCCTGCCACCAGGTGTCGTGCCCAGCCCTACGGAGCCATCTCCACACTGACAGAATGAATGCCCTCGATAATGTCCCTTTCAAAGTGCCCAAGGGTTTTGTGATGGACACACAGCCTCTCCCCGCGCCGGAGCTCAGTGTTCCCGCCTGCAGGGAGATTCTGCTAGGATCTATGGTAAGTGTGCTTCTCTGTGTGTCTCTTTAGTTCCTCCTCCGTGGGGCTCACGTCTGGGGGCTGCGACGCATGGAGCCTGGCCCTTGATTGCAAAAGGCAGTTTGGCCTATTCTTGAGTTGTCCCAGGAGTTTGGAAGCGTGCCCAAAGAGCTCAGGGTAGTTGGCCCCTGCTAAATGCACTCTGGCTGGGAGGCTGTGGTAGTCATGTGACCTCAAGATAAAAGTGACTTCGCTTCCTCCTTACCTGAAAATATAGGGGGAAAGCCCCACCACATGTATGTGAAAACATAATAAAATTGTTGAGTAGAATGCAACATTCACATGAACTTCAAAATAAAAATAGTAGCTGGGAATGCGGCTTAGTGATAGAGTGCTTGCCTCCCATTCACGAAGCCCTAGGTTCAATCCCTCAGCACCACATAAACAGAAAAAGCCACAAGTAGCTCTGTGGCTCAAGTGGTAGAGTGCTAGCCTTGAGCTAAAAGCAGCTCATGGACATTGCTCAGGCCTGGAGTTCAAGCATCAGGACTGGAAAAGCAGAATTAAAATAAAAATAATAAAATAAGACTGTCAATAGGATGGGGTGTAATAATAGTGTGCTAGACTTGAACAAAAGGAGCTTAAGGACAGCACCCATGTCCAGAGTTCAAGGCCAGGACTGGCAAAAAAAAAAAAAAAAAGATAGTTGCCTAGTGGCTTACTCCTGTAATCTTAGCTACTTAGGGAGACTAAGATTTAAGGACTGTGGTTCAAAGCCATCCAAGCAAAAAAAAAAAAAAAATCCAAGAGAGGGCTGGGAAGGTGGCTCAGTGGTAGAGCACTTGCCTTGCATGCATGAGGCCCTGGGTTCGATTCCTCAGCACCACATAAGCAAAAAGAAAAAAGCCGGAAGTGGCGCTATGGCTCAAGTGGTAGAGTGCTAGCCTTGAGCTGAAGAGCTGAGGGACAGCGCCCAGGCCCAGAGTTCAGGCCCCACGACCGGACCCAAAAAAAAAAAAAATCCAAGAGATTCTTATCTCCAATTAACCACCAAAAAGCTGAAGTAGAGCTTTGTCACTAATGTGGTAGAGCACTCATTTTGAGCCAAAAAGCTAAAGGACAGTGCTCTAAGTTCAAGCCCCATTAGTGACCCCTCCTTCCAAAAAAAAAAAAGACATGGAAATATTCCAAATTAAATATTAAAAGGTGATATTCAATATTGATCTAACCAAAAAAAAAATCTAAAACCTGGTAAAGGATATTAATTGGATCAAATGAGAGAGCCATTGTATTGATGTTAAGTATACGAATGCTAAAAACTACTATGATTACAGGAAATCATATTTCTGTACTTTTAGGAAATACATACTTTTTTTGTGGTTGTTTTTGCTTTGCCAGTCCTGGGGCTTAAACTCAGGGCCTAGGCACTGTCCCTGAGCTTCTTTTACTTAAGGCTATCACTCTACCACTTGAGCCACAGTGCCACTTTTGGTTTTTTCTGTGTATGTGGTACTGAGGAGAACCGAGTACTTCATACATGCTAGGCAAGCACTCTCCACTAGGCCACATTCCCAGACCCCATATTTAAGTTTTAAGAGCAAGGTGAATAGAGTATATCTTATTTATTGTTGTTACCAGGGTTTGAATTCAGGAGCCTCTGTCAACTTTCTTGTTCACTGATGGTGCTGTACCATTTGAGCCACACCTCTAGCCTGACTTTTTATTGGCCAATTAGAAATGGAGTCTCTCAAACTTTTCTGCACAGACTGGCTTTGAACCATAGTCTTCCAGATCTCAACCTCCTGAGCATCTAGGTTTACAGGTGCCAGCATCAGATTGCTTTTAGAGGAGGCAGGACAGCAACAGAGAATACTCTGCAGTCAGACAGACAGGAATACAAGCACAGCCACTCACCATCTATCTGCCCTCAGCCGAAAAAGAAAAAAATCTTGAGCTTCATGTCTATCATCTGGAAATAGAAAACCTGAACCTACTAGGTAGAGTTCAACAATGATTAGATTATTACATTTTCTGAGCCTCCGAGTATCCATGGATGGCAGCCAGGGGTGTGGGGTGATAGATATTACTCCTCCTTGAAGAGAGGTGACTGCCAGAGGGGCTTCTAGGACTGACTGTTCAGTGGAAGATGACTCTGGGACCAGGGAAAACTTCTTGACTGAGAGCATGTTTTCTTGGAGAGCTCCAAAAGGTAATTAGCTGTTGTTATATGGGGAATGTGAAGGGCATTTAGTCACTCATTTGTTTGTTTTGTGTGTGTGCTGGTCCTAGGGCTTGCACTGGGTGCCTAAGCACTGTCCTTGTGTTCAAGGCTAACTCACTATCACTTGAGCCACAGCTCCACTTCTGGCTTTTTAGGGACTCATTGGAGATAAGAACCTCATAGACTTTCCTGCTTGGGCTGGCCTCGAAACTTGATCCTCAGATGTCAATCTCTTAAATAGTTGGGATTACAGGTATGAGCCACCAGCAGCTGGCTCGTGGGTTTTAGACAGTAGATCTTACCACGTTTCATCCTGTAATTCATCTCTCCCTTTGTCTCTCAAGCCAGAATTGGCCCTGAAATTACTGTCCATAATGCAGGGAGTCCCCTGTAATAAGTATAGTCCTGGGGCTGGGAATGTGGCTTAGTGGTAGAGTGCTTGCCTAGCATGCATGAAGCCCTGGGTTCAATTCCTCAGTACCCCATATACAGAAAAAGCCAGAAGGGTAGAGTGTTAGCCTTGAGCAAAAGAAGCTCAAGGACAGTGCCCAAGCCCTGAGTTCAAGTCCCAAGACTGGCCAAAAACAAACAAACAAACAAATAACTATAGTCCTGGCTTAGAAACTGGCTCAGCCTGGCAAGTCTGGTCTGACAGCTTCCCTGGGTGTATGGTTAGCACAGCACCCCCAGAATCCCGGCCTGTCCCAGCTGGACCTCACATCCTGTTCTCTCCCCAGCATGACTTCAGTCTAGAAAGAAAAGCTCTCTTCTGGATAGAGGCTGCCCTTCAGGGACCTAGCCCACAGCAGTGTGGTGACCTGGGGACAGCATCAGCCCCTCCAGCCTGGCTTCTGCTGGTCAGCCCAGAATATGAGCTGGCACCTGTGCCAGCCCCGGTGGAAAGCCTGGAGGCCGGAGTTCAGGAGCCACCAGAGGAGGAAGACAAAGAGGAGGCCAAGGAAGAGGCCTCTGGTGCCAGTGAGGAAGAGCTGGACCACAGCCATCTGCAGCCCGGCTCTCCAGGGAGCCCCAGCCAGAGTCCACGCCGCTGCTCGCTGGCCAGGCTGCGCAGCATGAAGTCTGAGCTGGCCGGGGCCCGACGACGGCTGTCTGAGAGCATGGCCACGTGTCCCCGTGCCCTCCTGCACCGCTTCCGTGGCCACTGCACACCAAGCCTGTGCCCAGAGGCCGCACCATCCCCAGATGCCACCTTCCAGCTCCCCAGCACCCCTGCACTGCCCCCACGACCCTCCACAGCTGGACCCATGCCCCCGCTGAGGAGCCACAAGCCCACAATGGCGGTAAGGACTCTGACCACCCTTCCTGGGGCTGCAACACCAGGATCCATGTCCCCAGACCGTTTCTAGACTCTGCTTTTTTTCCTTGCTCCCCACTTGGCCCTGGAGTGTTCCCCTTCTTCAGCCCTTTGCGCAGAATTTTCCCTGAGAAGCCTGTTAGCCGCATCGGGGGCTCGGGTCACCATGCTTGAGCTTCTGATGGAGTGGGGATTAATTCAAGGCAGGGATGGGGTGGCATTCCTTTTTGCTTCCAGGGACCTAGCAGCAGACATGACCCACTGAGGTGATCAGTGAATGTCTGCTAAAGACCACTCCCATCTAGGGCTTCCCATCACTAAAGAGTGGTAAACTAAGAGGCTCAACAAACAATCATTTCCTGTCAGATTCTGGGTTGAGAAAGTCAAAATTATAAGACAAGATGCACCAGAGGCTGATGCCTCTAATCCTAGCTCCTTGGGAGACTGAGATCAGATGATCAGGTTTGAAACCAACCCAGGCACACAAATCTGAGAGATTCTTATTTCCAATTAACCAACAAAAAGCCAGAAGTAGAATGCCAGCCTTGAGCAGAAAAGCCAAGTGAGAGCATGAGACCCTGAGTTCAAGACTCAGTTGTAGCACCCAAAAAAAAAAATCCTTTGTTGATTTCTTGATTTCAACATCTATGAGATAATAGGCTGTATCTGTCATATCCTTCTCTTGCTTTCTTCTTCTTCTTCTTCTTCTTCTTCTTCTTCTTCTTCTTCTTCTTCTCCTTCTCCTTCTCCTTCTCCTTCTTTCTTCTTCTTCTTCTTCTTCTTCTTCTTCTTCTTCTTCTTCTTCTTCTTCTTCTTCTTCTTCTTCTTCTTCTTCCTCTTCCTCTTCTTCTTCTTCT